CGGCCGGCGCAGGCCTGGGCGGCGGCGGCGCGATGTTCGTGCAGGAGGAGAAGATCTTCGCGGGCAAGGTGCTGCGGCTGCACATCTGCGCGGCCGACGGCGCCGAGTGGTTAGAGGAGGCGACCGAGGATACGTCGGTGGAGAAGCTCAAGGAGCGCTGCCTCAAGCACGTAAGGCCGAGCCCCGCGCCCCCGCCCCGCCCGGCGCCGACCGCGGAGCCCGCCTGGACCTGCGATCCGACCTGGACCTGCCGGGCAGCCCGCGGCGCCCAGGTCCCCTCCGCCCCTTTCTCGGTACCTGAGCCCCGGGGGTCGCCCCGGCCAGCCACCAGCCGTGGCTCCCCGAGCCACCCTCTCCTGCACTTTCTGCAGTTAACCGGGAGGTGGGGCGGAGGGGAGCCCGAGGCCGGAAAGGTGGAGTCCGGGTGAGACAGGCTCCTGGCCGTCCAGCATTTGTGGGAGAAGAGGCGTCTTCCTGTTCGCCGCCGAGCAGCTGCTTGGAGCTGTTTCCCGAGGCTGCCTGAGAGCCTGGGCTTGGCCCTGTGCTCAGGTCACCTAAAATAGCGCCGCTGCTTTTCAGTGGGGGTGAAATGCATTTAGCGGGAAGGTACAGACCGGGGTCTCTTCCCAAGGCGCCACTTGTTGAAGTCTACTCAGAAGAAACGCTCCTTAGGTGGCGGTCCCCCTTAGCTCCTTGGGTTGCTGAGGTTTGGAGCTAGTTCTTGAGACTTTCCCTCCACGCCTAACTCAGTGAGGTACTGTCAGGCGTCCGTCAGACCCGGTGGCCTAGGGAAGTGCTAGACATGGCGCTGTAGGGTTTCCTGGGAGAATTTAGGTTAAAGGTGGCCACAGCTTTTTAGTGGGGACTGTGTGGGAGCAGTCATGTATCTGTACACTTGACAGGTTGTCCGCCAAGATAAGGCCGTTGTCTCAAAGGGTGAGCCTGCAGTTACGATTGGAGTCACTGCTGGCAAGGAGACCTTTGTCGGCTCTCTTATGAGCGTGGTTAGGTGGGCTTCATCTGTAACTGTCAGAGGTGGTGGGAGGTGGCCCACCCTTTACAAGTCCCCTCGGAGCACAGTGCCCTGAATGTGAGTGTAGGGTTCTGAGCCGCTCAGGGAGGTTTGTACGCTCGAGGGCAGGTGTGCTGACTGCTGTCTTGTATTCTAGTTCTTATTTTTATTCATTGTTTGAGTTAGGGTCTCACGTTGCAGTTCAGGCTGGCCAGCTCTCCAGGTGATCCTCCGGTTCAGCTGCCACAGTGCTGGGGTTACAGGTGTGTGATGTTTTGCCTGTTCTCTTGTGTTTTTATAGCCTAGCCGGCATGCTTCAACTGTTTAGCAGTGCCACACTCCTGCCGTGGGCTGCTTAGTGGCTTGGTCTGTACACACAAGCCCAGAACTTGGCCTGGAGTGAGCGTCCGGACAAGCGTGAGAATCTATGGGAGAAGTGAAAAAAGATTGTCAGCTCTAAGCCGCAGGGCTCTGGAACATGGCACTGAGTTTAACTCACTAAGGGTATGGATTCACATCATGGGCGTAGCAGTGTTTTGCGAAGGGGACTAGGAAATGATCCATGGATGCTTACTAATAAACTTCAGGAGCACTTGGGTTAATTAGGTAGCCAGTTTCAATATGATGCTAATTATTTGTGATGTTTATTGTTCCAGTGGGTATTGAGATTGTACCATTTGGGATTTTTTGTCATTATCTTCCTGTAAATTGAGATTTTATTCCACTCTGCAGTCTCCCCAGGTGTGGAGGATCTGAGCAGGAGGGGAATTTCATGCCCAAAGAGCTGACAGAAATTATGGGACTGGAGAGCTGAGCCATCAGAAAATGTTCCATCTGTCCTGGAGTCAGAATGCCCCGGTAGGAAGGGATAGGCTCAAGTTGTGCACTTGAATGTCACCCTGGAAGCCAGGGCCTGCATATGGGCAGTGAGGCTAAGACGCGTGTGTCTTAGCTTGTTTTCCTCCTTCCCAGTGTCACCAGCGCACACCTACACTAGTGTTGTGCGGGGTTTTTTTCCTCCCATTTTCCCCTCTATCCTTCCACTCCCGGCATTGCTGGGAGCCCACTGCCATAGTAAGAGGGATTATTGTCCTAACTCTAAGGAAATGGATTGCTGTTTTGCCTTTGCCTTTTTTGTTCTATCCAAAGTGGGCTCACCATGGCAGTCTGTGGCGTCTGTCGCTCAGGTCTGGCAGAGGCACAAGCGGGTGCTTTAGTCTAACAGGGCATTAATGACGTTAAGAAAATGACCCCTTGGCAGGGGTGGTTCTCTGTGATATCAGTGCCAGAATGGAGCACAGTACTTTCCCTTGTGGCCCTGTGGAGCTTCAGGTCCTCTGCACGTGACAGAGTGCATCAGGTCTGAGCAGACGTGAAGGCACGGCTCCTCTGCAATGACACAGCACACAGGGTGGGGCCCAGAGGTCTTCACTGGGGTGCGTGTGCAGATGCCGAGATGGGCGGGCTCCTGCATGGCAGGGGTGACATCCCTGGTGTGCTGTTGGCATGGTGTGGGCCAGTACAAGGTTTTGGAAACCAGGATGATTGTTTTAGAAAATTGGGTTCCCTTGACTGTATTCTGAACCTCACATGTCAACTGGAATTACCTGCAAATTCTAGGATTACAAACTGGCTCACGCCGTATTTCTGGGAGCAGAGTGTTGCCAAGCTCAAGGGAAGCGGAGCTCCCTGCTCTGTGGTCAGTGGTAACAGCACAGCTGGCTGTTGGCTGGATTCTGCTTCCTGTGCCCTATGGCCTTGCCAGTTTTGGGGAATGTGTGGTGACTCTGGAAGTCCTCATGACCTTTTCTCAAAACTGTGTTTTCAGTCTTGACAGTAATGGAAAATTCTAGTTGCTCCTAAAATGCCAGTGTTGAGAGTGGGTACCCACTTCAATTTTTCCTGCTTTTTCTAGTTAACAGTGAATGCCGGGTATTTCCAGGCCTTTGGGGTTGCAGGGGAAGGTGGTGTGCAAACTTTAGTGGGTCCGGGTGCCACGCCTGGCTTGTGCTGGGGCCTGGAACACTGTGGTGCTGGGCATCCCGGGTGGATGCGTCCTGGGGTGACCATACCCTCCTGCAGGCTGTGGACGTTGGAAAGCGCCCCAGGAGCGTGTCCCTGGCCTCTCAGGCATCTCCTTTTCTGACATAGATGACTGTGTGTGCACCCTGGTGATCCATGATGTGAGCCAGCACCCCTGGACCCCCAGCCTGCACCGTGCTGTAGCACGGGAGCTCCTGTGGATCCTTGCTGCAGCATCCAAGGCCGCTCCACTCTTCCCACCCGAAAGATGGGGCCTGGGCAGGGCTGGAGCTGAGTAGGCCCCACTGTCCAGGGTGACATGTGGTGTGGGGCTGAGGTGGGCAGTAGCCAGGGGTGACGCTCTGTTTGGACTCAGATGAGGCACTGCGAGGCTGTCCCGCAGCACGCTTGGTGCTCAGGCCATGCCCAGAGCCACACAGGCTGTCCTGCCACATGTGTGCCCTGGGCAGCCGAGTGGTGTTCGCAGAGAGAGGAGCCTGCTGAGGTGAGCAGCAGTGTTGCCAGCAGCGTGCAGCGGGGCTGTGAGGCAGCTGTGGGACTGGACAGGACCCCGGTGTCAGTGGCTTTTCATGTCTCCTGTGAAGGTGCCATGTCCTCACCGCTGTGGGTGGATGGCCTCTGTGGTGGCCGAGGACCTTAGCCCTTCCTCCCCCTCCTGTGCCGCCTGCACTGCTGGGCTGCAGGGTGGACACAGAGCTCCGTGCCCATGGTCCCCTCTGAGCTGGCCCAGGAGGGGACCCTTGAGCGGCATCTGCAGTGGGAGCGTTGCTCGGTGAGCCGAGGCCGCAGTGCTCAGTGGGCCCGGCCTGGTTCTGGGTTCTGGGAGCCAGCCTTCTTTCTTCGCTGTGCCTCCACTCCTGTCATGTGGATGGAAGGAGACAAGGGCACACCTGACACCTGGGTCTTTAGTTTGCCAGGAAACCACGGACCTTTTTGATGTAAACATGACTGTCCAGCTGGGCATGGTGGTGCGCACCTATCATCATAGCTTTTTGGGAGGTTGAGGCAGGAGGACCTCAAGTATGAACCTGGCCTGGGTAACATAGCAACACCTCTCAAAACAAAAAATTAAATAAAATAAAAAGAGTTGGGCTGGGTGTGGTGGCGTACAAGGTCTTGCTCTGCAGTTCAGGCTGGCCTTGAGCGCCCTTTGTAGCCCAGGCTGGTCTTGAACTCACAACGATCCTCCTGCCTCAGCCTCCTGAGTGCTGAGATTACAGGGGTGCGCCACCACGCTTGGCCTTTGATTTCAACTGTGCTTTAAAGTCTCAGCTCAGGAGAAAACCTGTAAATGCCCACTTGGCTGTGGGTGTCAGGCTGTGTACTGTGGGGATTGTGACGTACTTTCTTCTATGCATTGTTTAATTTCATCTCTCAGTGTGCTCATGGGAACCTAGAGGACCCCAAAAGCGTCACCCACCACAAATTCATCCACGCTGCTTCTGAGAGGGTGCTGAGTGACACCAAGACCATCTTGGAGGAGAACGTGCAAGACCGAGGTGAGACGGTGGGATGGATCCTGGTTTGTGGGGGAGTACAGAGGCCTCATGCATATGTACATGGTGTCTGTGGCCCCAGTTGGCTGTGAGCGAGAAAACTGGACCGACTCTGGTTTTATTTTTCCTTCATTAACAAAGTATATGTTGTGGAGTATATGTGGAAAAGAGCAGAGATCAAATCTGAGCAAGCAGTGGACATCCAAGAAGCCAAACATGAGCTTTACTTTTAATTCTGCTCAGAGCAAACCCAGACTCTGGAGCTTCTGCGGGTTTTATTTCTGGCTTGAAATGATGGTTGTGCCTGTTGTCTGAGGCCCCATAGTGAGATGCACTGCTGCGCAGTCCACTTCAGGGCTTAGAGCCCTTTAAGTACCGACTTGGTTCAGAAGTCCTGGAAGCCAGGGCCCTGGACATGTTGCTCACAGACCTCCCCTGAGTGTGGTTGTCGGCCCGGCCCAGTGCCATGGGAGGTGGCCCACCATCCTGGGTTGGCGACCGGCCATGCCTCAGGTTGTTGGTTCACAGCAGCCCATGAGAGCGAGGGTATTTTGCAAGATTTTCACCAGTTCTTTGTGTGGTCATCAGGACTCTGCCAGGCCAATGTAGTGACCTACAGCCTTGTCCTTGCCCACCCAAGAGCCTGTAGGTCAGCCAGGGCTACGAGGGAAGCATGGAAATGGGGGTGGGTCCGGGTTTAGGGTGATACAGAGGGAGCCTTGCTTTCTGTGCTCACGAAGGGCACCCAGCAGCAGCACCCTTCACGCGCTTAGGCTGTGGGGCCGGCTGCATGTAACAGATGTGGTGTGTTTCCTCCCAGATGTCCTGCTGTTGATAAAAAAGCGAGCCCCCGCCCCCCTCCCTAAGATGGCCGAGGTCTCTGCGGAGGAGAAGGTGAGTGCGAGCTTGCCATCTGCGAGCTTGCTCAGTGAAGCGTCCCCAGGCTTTGGGCTGTCTGCTCATTCCCAGGCCTGGCCCAGCCCGTGCCCTTAAAGTGCTGCGTTGCCCTTGGCTTAACCCCTGCGAGTTCTCCTCGAACGGCCGGATAGGTGCTGTACGACAAAAGCGTTGCTAGGGCCCTGTGCGCAGGACGGGAGCAGGCGTGCGGAGCCAGGGCGGCACGGTTTGCACCGCTGTCCCAGAGGCTGCTGTGCCTCTCTTGTCTGTTTCTTGCAAGGCAAACTTGGGCCTGTGTCCTCTGGAAACTGCTGCTGTAGAGACCCCGCGGTGTTTGCAGCGGTCACCCCAGGCTCGTTCCTTAGTGCGAGATGGTCCTGCGCGCGGCCTTTTCTGCTGTTACACCACTTCTGGGGCCTGCGCCCTGGTACAAAGCAGCTGCTCACCTCACGGTTCATCCCAAGTGCTGGCATTTCTTCCTCAGTCAGAAAGGCCGGGGAGTGTGTTCGCCCTGGAGAGAGCAGCTGGCCTCTTGGGGCTGGGCCATGGCCTGAGAGCGGGTGAGCTATTCTGGGGCTTCCTCTGGGCCATGGATATATAAGGAGCACCCTGGGCTTGGGCTGCCTTATCTTAAGCCGCACCTGGCTGCAGTGTAGGTGTGGACTGGCAGGGGACCAGGGAGAGGTCTGGGTGCACCCTTGTCTGCTGGGCCAGGCCTGCTCTGAGAACTGCAGTGATAGGCAGTTCTCACCTTACAGCTGGGCGGACAGCAGGGTTCTGGCACAGCCGGTGGCCTGCAGCAGGCAGTGTGCAAGACGCAGCAGAGCCCCCTGACCGCCCTCCGCTCCTCTGCACCTGTTTGCAGAATGTGCCCTGAAAGCTGTTAAATCGTGGTTCTATGATTGTTTAAATCAAAAGAACACATGTGTTTAAAAGCCAAGTATTACAAATGTTTCAATAAAATCAGTAGTTTCAATAAAATCAGTGTACCAGGCACCTGCTGGGCGCCCCTCTTCTCTCTTCCTTCTGTGTCAGGACTGTGTAGCTCTCCCTCTCCATGAGCAGACTGTCACAGATTTCTCCGTAGGGCAGTGCGTGTCTTGTGTTCACCCCTCCTGCGGTTTCTTGTCCAGGGTCTTGGGCGTGACGTCCGGAACCCGGCTGTGTTCCTTGCTGCATGCTCTGGGGAGAAGCTGCTTCTGGTTTCTTCAGGCAGATGGCAGCACCCACCAATCCCTCCTGCTGCCCGCTGTGGCCCCATCTCTTGCTGGTGTTAGCAGGGGTCAGCTCTGCCCCTGGAGGCACCTTGGTCCCCTGGTGTGTCCTCTGTCTGCCACCGGCCGCAGAGTTTCCTAGAGGCAGAGCCATGTCTTGGTGGGGCCTCGCCTGACTACGCCAGGGCCCCTGTGGGTTAGGTGCACAGCCCAGCTGCAGCGTGGGAGGTGACAGCACCTTCAGGTCCTGCTGCTGCAGCACAGATAGCATCTTGCCTCGTTCCTGGTTTGGTGGGAGCAACTTGCTCGGGCTTCTAGGGAGGGAGGTTGGGTCATGTTGGGCTGAGACTGTGCTGCCCTCGGCCCACCTGGGAGCTCTCCCCTGGCCTGCTCCAGTGGGGCCTTCAGGTCCAACTTGGGCTATGGTGCACACGTTGTCCCTTTTCTGTACTGGCTGTGATGCGCTGGGATTCCGATGTATGAGTTCAGGAGGTTTTGCCCCGGGTCATGTTTGATAACTTCCTCTCCTGCCCCTTTCCTTCTGTCTCTGGCTCTCAGGCCCTTGCTGCTGGGCCTGCTTCCTCGCCCCCTGTCCACCTGTGGCCGCTGTTTGTGCTGAGTGCGGGTCAGGGTGTGCCCCTCCTCCAGCTCCTCCCCGGCTGCCGCCTTTCCCTTCCCCATTTACTTTCTGTCCTTTGTCGTCCTGGTCCACCCTGTCTTTCTGTCCTTGGCTGGGTGTCGCCTCCTGGGGGTGCTCTGTGCCAGAGTCTGTGCTGTCCGCTGGCTGACCCCGTGGCTGTGCCTGTCCTGCCCAGGTGGCTGTGTCTCCTGCTGGCCTGGGGAGGAGCTGCTTGGGCCTCCGTGGGCTAAGGGCCCTGGCTTTCGACTCTCAGGAGGGAGTTGGTTTCTCTAGGGAGTAGACTGGCCCCATGCTGGCCCCTAGAGCTCAGCCACACGGTGGCCTCTGTCCTGAGGCGTGGCTGGGAGGGATGGTGGGCCCATGAGCTCTTGGCCTTTGCCTGCGGCTCTGTCCGCCCCTCTGTGCCTCCTGAGTCTGCCGCTGTCTCTCCCTCCTGGTTGTGTGTCTTCTCCCTGCTTTCTGGTCATCTCCACCGTCCTCATCCCGGTGTCGGGCTCAGTGAGGCTGTGTCTGGCACAAGGATGAGCTGCCCTCCAGCCTCCGGGCTTCTCCGCTGTCCAAGTGGGGCCTCTCAGGTCCTTTCTGGCCCAGTGCACTGGGATTGTGACTGGGCCAGCTTCTCCTCTGTCCTCCCGCCACTCTGGCTAACTGTGTGGGGTCAGGTCCCGAGCACCTCACCTGGGCTCTGTCCCCAAGGCTGAGCACGGAGCTCCCCACAAACCCCCAGCTCCACGGGGTTTGCAGCTCTTGCTTGGAGGAAATGTGGTGGGGGACCCTGTTGTCTCAGTTTCTGTCCCTGAGCTCACTGTGGACTCTCCCACCCCTCTGTGCAGAAGAAGCAGGAGCAAAAGGCTCCAGACAAGGAGGCCATACTCCGGGCAACAGCCAGCCTGCCCGCCTGCAGCGTGGACCGGGCCGCAGTGCAGACCACCATGCGAGACGTGAGTGCCGCCCTGCACGTGCTGGGTGGGGCAGGGTGGGAGCACGTCTGGGGGCTCGCCAGGTGCTCGGGGAAGTGGGTACCACTGCTACTCTGGAAGCTGAGGCAGAAGGATCACGTGAGCAAAACCCCCAAATCAAAACAAAAAGTGCTCAGGGAGAGTGAGGCAGGATATTCAAGAACTCTACTAGTTTTGCAGTGTTTCCCTAAATCTAAAATTATTTCAAAGGAAGAAATTAAAAAGACACCGGGAGGCGCGGTGAGAAGCGTGGCTCCCCCTGCGTGGACCTGAGGGTTTTGCCCGAGCCTTGGCTGAGTTTCTTTCCGATGTCTGAGCTCTCAAGTCATTTTGGCCTGAGAAACAGAAGCACTGGCCGTGCCTGTGTGAGCCACGCAGGCCGAGGGCACACTGGTTTGGGGTATGGCGCGTGGCCACCTTTGGTTTCACCTGACCCAGTCTGATTCAAGTGCTGCTGTGAGCCCTGGGTCGAGTTAGGAAGGTGCCTCTCTGCGGGCGTCCCCAGTGGGTCCCGTGTGCTCCGCTGCAGCCACCTCTGCCCAGCCCCGAGTGGTGGGTGGCGAGGCTGCTCCTGGTCTCCAGGCTGAGCCTGGGGGAGCTGGGGTAGAGAGAGTCTAGGGGTGTCGAGCCAGCTCCTTGTTCATGCTTCTGCAGCTTTGGGGTGGCCAGTGGGGTTTCCAGATCCACAGCACTGAGTGCTGGCCAGGCACTTTGCTTGTCTGCCCCAGGCGAGGCAGGACCCCTGGCTCTCAGCAGCAGTGGCACACGCGTCTGCTGCCGGGCACATGGAGCCCCTTCCTTTGCTGTGGTGTCTCCTGAGGGATGAGCTGACCCCTGTCCTGCCTCTTCTCCACTGTCCGGCCACCCCTGAAGGAGGGCAGTGCCGTGTGGACTCAGGCTTTTGGGCACTGGCATGGCGGTGCCGGTCAAGTCGGTTTGCTCGACACTCAGAAAGTCTTTCCTTTCATCCCTGCTGCAGTTCCAGACAGAGCTCCGGAAAATCTTGGTGTCTCTCATTGAAGTGGCACAGAAGTTGTTAGCCCTGAACCCCGATGCAGTCGAACTGTTTAAGAAGGCAAATGGTATGGGCAGAGCCCAGGTGGGCAAGTAACCCTGTGTGCCTTCGTACCCACAGGCTCACACACACGCGTATGCGCACATGCACAGGTGCTCCGTCACCTGTGCCTGTAGCCTCGTGGAAGCTGGCAGTCAAGCACTGTCCGGTCTGCCTCTCCAGGGCCGTGCCACTGTCCCTCAGCCTCGTGTGTGGGGGGGGCAGGGAGGGGTGGAGTGAGCTGTCCTGAGGTGGCAGGTCTGCTAGATGCTTGTGGGTGTGGACGGGGCTGCCCTGTCGAGAGAGCCCCTCACATGTCTCCTGTCACCTGCAGCTATGTTGGACGAGGATGAGGACGACCGTGTGGACGAGGCCGCCCTGCGGCAGCTCACGGAGATGGGCTTTCCCGAGAGCAGGGCCTGTAAGGCACTGCGGCTGAACCAGTAGGTCGGGCCCCTGCCTTGCAGATGCAGGGTTGGGCCGTGCTGTCCCTGCCCAGCTCTGACGGGGTCGTTTCCAGGCTCTGTGTCCTCAGTCACCCACATACACATTGGGGTGCTTAGTTTATTGTCTCACAGTAGGGCTTTTGTTGTCTCGCCTTTTTTGAGATAGGGGCTCTATATTGTCCAGGCTGGTCTCAAACTACTGGGCTCAAGCAAGTGTCCTGCCTCAGCCTCCCACGTAGCTGGGACTGCAGGGGCACTGAGCGTTTTAGGTTTGGCCTGTGTGCAGGACCATGAGCTGGCTGGTCTGTCTGCTGAGCTCTTGCGTTGCTGCACCCTGACGGCCAGAGCCAGGGCCCCCAGGGACAGGGATGCTCGTGGCCTTTCTGAGTCAGTGTCATAGACACTCAGATTCCAGAGCAGAAGGCATTGAGGGCTGGGTCCTTCCTGGTCTGGCCCTGTCAGACTTTTAAAAGTCTTTGCAGTGCTGGGGACTGAACCCAGGTGTCCTCGAGAACCCTAGGTCAGAACCTGCCCCACGCCACACTCGGGCTCCCTGCGCCCATGCGCCTGGGACCCTGTGCTGGGCCGGGGCCTTGCAGAGGCCACGTCCGCGGAGCCTGGTCTGCAAGGTGGCCTGCTGTGGCTAGTCAGCGGGGGGGGGGGGCGGCCCTGCTGCTGCTCCGGGAGCGCTGGGAAGGGTCTTGTCCCCTTGCAGCATGTCAGTGCCGCAGGCCATGGAGTGGCTGATCGAGCACGCGGAAGACCCGGCCATCGACACGCCTCTTCCAGGACAGGCCACACAGGCTGAGGCAGGCGCTGCGGCCGCCGCTTCCGAGGCCGCAGTGGGTGCTGCTGAGGAAGACGAAGAGTGGGATGAGCTCACGGAGATCTTCAAGAGGATCCGCAGGAAAAGGGAGTTCCGGGCCGACTCGCGGGTATGCATGTGCGCCTGCACCCCACGCTGCCTGTCCGGAGGCCGGGCCAGGGTGGACCTGCGCGTCCCAGTTCAGGCTGCTTTGTCCTCGCCTGATGGCAGGGCCTCATTTCCTTAGTCGTCTCCTGAGAAGACAGTGGACAGTGGTGCTGCCGCAGCCGCAGGGCAAGGATGGGCAGCGCCAGGAGCAGATGAGCGGGCATGGGGCGGGAAGTGCGGGGGCCCTGGCCGAGCTGGCTGTTGCTCGAGGCCCTGTGGTGCCTGTCCATGGCCCTTCCTCACTGCTGCCTCTGCTTGGTCCACTTTCCTGGGCTGGGTCTTGGGGTTTGGTTCCTTGTGACCTCTGTTCCTTGTGGGTCACAGCTGTGTCTGTTCCTATGTGCCTGCCTCTGCCTCGGGGTATGGTGTGGGTTTCTCGGGGCCTCCCCCATGGGGACCCCATGTGGCCCCCATGTGACCGGGCTGCCAGGATGCAGGCAGGAGGCATCCTAGTGTGCTTCTGCAGGTCTGAGCGGGACACCCAGCCAGGGCCAGTGTTTATCTTGCCTGCCCTCGGGAGACCTGCGCATCAGCTGCAGCTCCAGGTCTGCCTTCTGCGCCTCTTGTCCTGGCTGCACCAGGGGTCTCACATGCCGGGGGCGCACACATGCCAGGGGCTCTGCACTTCAGCTCTGTAGGCCCTGCTGGTGCCGCCCAGCCCCTGTTGGGACGATTTCTGTCACTTTTGAATTCCCCATCTTGTGAGTTCCTTGCATCTTGCATTGCAAAGTTTCTGTGCTGTTTCAGGCGACATTTCTAGGGCCTGGCAGGGGGTCTGTCTTCCTCTTCTGAGGAGCTGGCTCCTACACAGTTGTTTTGAGCTGGGTTCTTGGTGTCCTGCAGGCAGGCAGGCTTGAGCGTTGCTGGGTTTTGGCCCTGCCTGGTCCTCATGGGTTTGCTTGGTGATCAGTTCCTGTTGTTATCTCCAGCTCCACACCCTCTTCTTTTGAGAAATGGCCTCCCTGTGTTGGCCAGGCTGGCTTCAAACCCCTAGTCCTCCTGTCTCATCCTCTCAGCAGCTGGGACTACAGGGTGTACCACTTTCAGCCCTTTTATGAAAAAATCAGGTTTTTTTTTTTTTTTTTGTCGTCTTTTCGTTTGTTTTTGGTTTTTTTGTTTTTTCTTCCAGTACCGGGAATCAAACTCACAACCTTGCGCTTGCCAGGCAGGCGCTGTGCCTCTGAGCTAAATCCCCAGCGCCCCCTTTTTTTTGTCTTTTTGAGACAGGGTTTCACTATGCAATTCAGGCTGGCCTTGAACTCGAAATTATCCTCCTGCCTCAGCCTCCAAGTGCTGGGATCACAGGCGTGCGCCACCATGCCCGGCTCATTAATTTTCGCTTGTTTTCTTTGCTGAGATACTTTCCCACTGCCATTCCCTCTCCTCACCTCTGTTTTATTATGTACTTATTCCTCTGTTTTAGAAGAGTCTGTAGAATGGTCTCTCCTGAGATGGGCATCAGGGCTTGAGAGCAGTAAGAGCCTCTTGCCCTCTGATTTCTGTGCCAGTCCTGAGACTGGGCCCAGGCCAGCAGCCACCAGTGTCCTAGTTCGGCTATTGTACGAAAAGAGCACCGAACTCCCCACTGCTGCTGGAGGAGGTCCTTACTGTGGCAGGGGCAGGAGGCACCCGAGCGTGGCCAGAAGTGCTAGGGCCTCGTTTCCTGGGCTGAGAGAGGAGGAGCGAATGGATGGGAAGAGCCATCCCATCCGGGGGTTTGGTGGTCTCCAGACCTTTCCACGTGGCCTTTGCAGTGTGGAGGCTCCCGCCCAGGGGCCCTTTCACTGCCACTGCCTGGGGTGGGTGACTTCACTGTGTGCACATGAGCCCCTGGACGTAGGCAGCTCCCAGCCACGCTGCCGAGAGAGACCCCAGATAGAGTAGGGCTCTCTGTCAGCTTTCCGCCTGGAGGGCCTCCTGCCTCTTCCCACCACCACCGAAGTCCTTGGGGTCTCTAAGACGTCCGGCCGTCTGTCTGTGATGTGCATATTGTGCAGGGGGTCATGGCATCATGGGGAGAGCTGAGAGGGGTAGGAGAGAAGACAGTGGGGCTTGGTCTTGAGAACGTCAGGCGGCATCCTTGGGGAATTGAGGGCCTCGAAGTTTTTCTCGAGGAGTAGCACTCTTTGAGCAGTATGTTATAAAAGTGCAGCGTAAAGTGGTATCTCGTTACAGGATTTTTGCCCTGAAAATGTGTGTCCATTTCCTTATTTCTTTGGTACCAGAAATTGAACTCAGGACCTTGTGCTTGCCAGGCAGGCGCTTGTGCCACTGAGCTGTATCCCTGGCCACATTTCCCTAAAAAGTTGAAGGTTAGGTCATCATTTACCCTATGAATTAGTGTATGTTTACGTTTAGAACCTCAGTGTTAGATACTGGTTATTAAAATTAATTTTAGTTTGTCTTTTAAAGATAAAATTGGAGTAAAAGCACCTTTCTTAAGTGCGACATTTTTGTCTCCATTTAAGCTGGATTTATGTGCTTAACCTTTCTCTAATGCTACTCTTGGATGACACAGTCTCCGGGGTGAGGGCAGGTGGGTGGCTGGGCTGCTTTGAGCTGCTTGCTCGTGGCACAGATGCGAGAGCTGGAGACAGCTCGGCTGCTTCTCTCCACTCAGGTCCCGCTCGCCAAGGCTGTGGGACTCTGGAGCCCAGGGAAGCCTCAGGCTGGGGCGAGGGCTTGGACGTGGAAAGGTGCTGTGCATGTGGCCGGCTGCAGCGTCCGGCGCTTGGTATTCACTGGCTGTGTGCTTCTGCCTAGGCTGTCATTTCCCTGATGGAGATGGGCTTTGATGAGAAGGAGGTGATTGATGCCCTCAGAGTGAACAACAACCAGCAGAATGCTGCCGTGAGTACCGCGGGGCCCAGCCTGTGCTGTGCCTTGCTGTCTGCGTCCCCTGGCTCTCGGGGTGTCAGATGAGCTGTGTTCTGTGCCCCCACACTGCTCACTTCAGGGCAGAAGACTCAGGTGGCACACAGCTTTGAAGGTACTAGTCAGGCAGGGTGATGCATGCCTGTAATCCCAGCCCTCTGGGAGGCTAAGGCAGGAAGATCATAAATTTGAGCCCAGTTGGGACAGCTTATACCCTGTCTCAAAATAAAAAATAAAGGGCTGGGGATGTAGCTCAGTGCAAAGACCTTGGGTTGAATCCCCAGTAGCCCCCACCCCACTGAAAATTCTGAGAAAATTCTGGGCCTTGCCTGTCTAAAAACAGTGCCTTCTGTGTGCATATTCTGTGGGTGTGTAATTTGTTGATGTGTGTTCCTGCTCATACTTTGAGATCGAGTCCCGTGTTGTCCCTAGGCCAGCTGCTGATGGGAGCCCAGGTGCAGGCTTGGGTGGGCTGGTGGCCTCCACTGTGGACAGACAGGGTGAGGCCCAAGTGTCGAGCTGAATGTCCAGTCCTCTTGGGTATACTGGCTGTGGAGAAACACTGTCATGTGGGGCTCTTTCTCTAGAATGGGGCTGGGCGGAGAGGCCATGCTGACGCCCCATTCCATGATTGGGCACGAGGCAGTGGTCAGGCTCAGCTGCAGTGCCAGGTGCTAAGACTGCCAGGCCAGTTCTCTCTTCTCGCTCAGCCTGGCTGGGCATGCATGGCACTGGATGGGACCCAGCTTGTTGCGTTGGGGTCCCTTCCAGTGTGAGCAGTGCTTGGGACCTGCCAGGAGCCGCAGAACAGGACAGGGCCAGGCGTGGGGCTCATGTCCACAGTGTCGCCAAAAGGAGTTAACAGGTCCCCATGTTCTTGGGTTGCAGTGCGAGTGGCTGCTGGGGGACCGGAAGCCGTCCCCTGAGGAGCTGGACCAGGGCATCGACCCCAGCAGCCCTCTCTTTCAGGCCATCCTGGACAACCCAGTGGTACAGCTGGGTCTGACCAACCCCAAGACGCTGCTAGGTATGTGTGCCTGTGAGACGCTGACTTGGGTGGGGACACAGGTGCTGCTGAGGTGGCGTTGGGGCCAGGACAGCTTCCTGAAGACACATGTGTGCGAGTGGCCAGGCCTGGGAGCCCAGTCCCACTGTGGGTGGACGGGCTCCCACGGGATCAGGTGAGCCGTGCTGGTGGCTCATGTAGGCAGCACTTACGCGGGGGAGGTTGGTGTGGTTTTGGCTTATCTGTACAGGACTTCTCTGGTAATTGTGTATTTTTATTTTAACTGTGTGCATACAAAAATGCATAGTGTCTGTAACTAATGTGTAGCTGTGCATGAACCACTCAGCTTAACAAACAGCACGGTCATCCCTCTGTGTCCCTGGAAATTAGCTCCAGAATTCCACGTCAGCTTCCCCAGCTGCTCAGTGTGTGAGGTGGCAGGGTATTAGCGGGTGACCGACACAGATCCTTTCCTGACCATAAACCATCTTTGGAGTACCTGAAGTGCCAGTGTAGGGTAGTGCTGTATAAGTTCTTATCTGTTTTATTCAAGTTTGGGTGTTGGGTATTTTATCTCAGAAACAAGAAAACTAAAGCAGGGGTAGAAACCTGGCCTTGCTGCTGCTGCTGCTGCTGCTTTTTTTTTTTTTTTTTGGTACCGGGAATCAAACTCAGAGCCTTGTGCTTGCCAGGCAGGTGCTGTGCTGCTGAGCTATATCCCCGGCCCCCTGGTGCTTCTTCTGCTGCCCTCAGACCACATTTTCCATTGTTCTTTCCCTTCTCAGAAACTAAGCTCTCCTATGCTGTATCTTTGTAGACTACTGCTTTACTGGAATTTCCTTTCTGGCCAAACTCACAACATTTTAAATCATTCTGCTGGGCTCTTGCTCTTGATTCTCAACACAGATTTGGCTAAAAGCCCTTAAGAGTAGCCATACCACTGCCTCAAATTAGACTGCCTTGAAATTTCTTCTGCAAGATTAATTAGCCTTCTATCCTTAAGCTTAGTCTAAGGCAAACTCTCTGGACAGAAACAAAATGCAGACAAACTTTCTGCCAAGGCATAACACACATTGTTGTGAGTCCAGCACCCAGTGCAGTCCTTCCCAGCAGAAACCCCCCGAGCCTGGTCTTTACCAGCAGCTTTTCTGTCAGCATTTTGGTCTTCTTGGCTCTGACCAGAATCTCTCATCCAGTACAGTCTAAGGCATTCCAGGGCTGCTAATTCAGCTGATATCTCCAAACCTTTTCAAACCCTTCCCACAAGACGGTCCCAAAGGCTCCTGAATCACATGGTCAGGTACAGTTACAGCAGTGACCCCACTCCTGGTACCAAAGTCTGTCTCAGTTTTCTCATACCTCTCCAGAGGCCTTTTTATCGAGCTGTTATTTTTCCATGTTTGGTATTGGCATTGCTCTTTGTGGGTTGGTTTGTTGCGGACCCATCTGATGGTAAAGGCCAGTTCTTTCCCTCCAGTTCGGGTGCTGGGTTTGCGGTCCTGTCTGCTGACCTCCTGTGTGGCTGGCTCCTGTCCCCCCTCCTCCCTCTGTGAGGCAGACTGCCCAGGGCACACACCTGTCTTGGTCAGGGGGCTGAACTTGGGCACTGACGGGCTGCTCCTCACAGCAGGGCATCCCTGGGGCAGAGCATCTGCCCTTGGGGTAACAGGGCTCAGCTAGCTGTGGCTGCAGATGTGAGGCTTGCTGCCGAGCTCCATGTGTCAATGCCATCCTGGCTTCCCTGTGCTGCTCTTTAGCCTGGCTGGCCTGCCTGGCCACACACTTATGCAAAGATGTGCCTGCTGAAGTCTGGAAGTGAGCACTCCTGATGTGAGTCTTGAGCAATGACTGTTCTGTGGAGAGAACAGAACATTCATTATGGGAAGTTGGGAAAGGAAGATAGGGTGAAAGTGCGAGTTGCATCTTGGGATCCCCTCCCAGGTGCTCTCCCTTGTGCCATTTCCATGGTGTTTAGGGCGCTGGGGGATTTACTGCAGTGCCTGCTCCTCTATCCTGACTGCCTGGGAAACAGGGGCTTGTTGGCCGAGGGCAGGTGATTCATTCGGTGGACATGGTCTGGGTTCTTTTAGCAAATACAGTTCCCATTTCTGGTCATTAGATGGCTGCGGGACCTCCTGCTGCAGTGACCCTTTCTTGTCCCAGTCCTTGGGCGCAGCTTGTGTCCTCTGGGGACCGGCAGCTGTACATACCCGGCCACCACATCAGACTGTGGAGTCTCCTAGGTGCTACTCATCAGCATGCTCTCCTGCTCTGCCTTTGGCCAGTGCTGGCCGCAGCCCCCACTCTGCCACCCAGATTGCTCTGTGCTCCTTTTCCTCTTTATAACGTCATTCTTACATCGGCTGCTTGTGTCTTTCGTCTTACATGCAGCGTTGGGCTGTTTTTCATTTGCAGTATAAATTCAGCTCTTCGTAAGTAGCTTGTTGTGTCTTAGGAAAACCTGCCCTTTGTGGCATGTTGCTAACCCCTCATTTGCACTTTAATCTCATGGTATGTTTGAAACACAGAAGCTAAGACAGCACAGAAGGTCAGGTGTGGTATCTTGCAACTATGATCCCACTATTGGGAGGCTGATGCAGGAGGATCGCAAGTTCAAGGCCAACCTGAGCAAATTAGTGAGACACTGTCTTAAAATAAAATGAGAAAAGGTCTGGGGATGTAGCTGAGTGGAAGCATCCTTGCCTGGCACGCTTAAGGCCCTAGACTGAATCCCTAGCTCTGACAAAAATAAAAAGACAAAAGTCCTTCCTTAGACAAATACTCACCCATGCACTTTTCCATTTTGACTTCTTTTCTCATGGTTTTGCTTGTCTCGTTCACCTTCTGGAATGTGTTTTTCGATCTTTTGGGAGGCAGGGGCAAGTAGGGCTCCTGGTCTGTGTACGGAGCAGCCCTTTCCTGTTGATGCCGCCTTCTCACAGGTCCTGAGGTGCTTTCTGGGTTTGCTCTCTGAAACTGACCTGGTTCTCAGGGTCTTGTCGGGGAAGCACCGGGAGACTTTTCCTAGAGCCTGGGAGGGTTTTCTTGCCATGCACACAGCAGAACCAGTTCCCTCTAGCTCCATACCCATTGGGGTCCTCCTTGCACCTGAGTGGCTGCAGGTCCCTGCAGTGCAGGTTGAGCCCCCGAGCTAGGGTCCAGGTGCTCAACCACAGCTCCAGCCTTGGAGCATTCGGGACTCAGTGCTGGAGCCCACACAGCCCCCAACACCACGCAGGCATGGAGGTGAGGAGCCCCGGACAAAGGGTCATCCTCTCTGGGGTGGCCTTGCCACTAAGACGGCTGGGTGCAGTGCAAACTTGCTCCTTCAGGGTGGCTGCTCATGGGACTTTTTGCCAGGAGGCACTGGGTTTTGTAAGAAGTACTACATTTTTATTTTTATATTTTTTTTGCAGTGTTGAGGATGGAGCCCAGGGCCTCGTGCCTGCTAGGCAAGTGCTCTGCCACTGAGCTAACCCCAGTCTCTGGTTACATGTTCAGTGGCGATCTCTAAAGATCATTTTCCTAAGGTTCAATGTCTAGATTTTCCAACTCAGTGATAGTAACTGCAGCAGTGCCAGTGTGCATGAGTCTTCTGTATGTCTGGTTATTTGCTCCGGGTGAGGGTGGAAGTTGGGGTGCAGGTTAGGATGGTTTTCAGGTCTGCATAGTTGCCACCACATGGCTTTCCAGAGCTCGCACTGTGAGCACAGACAGGCCAGTGGCCACTTGGTCTGTGGGACACCCGTCCTGTTTCTGATCTGCTGAGTGGTCTGTGGGGTGGGCAGGGCCTGTGAATTCAGGCCAAGTTAGCACTGGGGTGAGCTCCAGTCCTTCCGTGTCTGTGGTACTGGGACTGACCCTGCCCCTGCACACATGGTGAGCACTGCCAGTGATCCCCACACAGTCCTGGCAGAGCTCTGTGCCTTGTACCCTGCCAGCACCCCATGGGGAATCAGGGCACTGGGCTCAGCTCTGCTGTCTCTACAGCCTTTGAAGACATGCTGGAGAACCCGCTGAACAGCACACAGTGGATGAATGACCCGGAGACGGGCCCGGTCATGCTGCAGATCTCCCGCATCTTTCAGACGCTGAACCGCGCGTAGGTGGCCCTGTCCTCCTCGGTTGTTCGGCCGCAGCCTCCCTGGGCAGGGCAGAGGTGACCTTGCCCAGAAGCCGTCTCCAGCTCCTGGGTCTGGGTCACCAGTGCCATGGCTGCTGTCCCTCCCTGCCTTACTGCTCCTGCAACGGTGAGGCCCGCGCTCCTAGCTTCCGACTGGCGTTCCTGGAAGGGTTGTCTTGCCGGGTGGTGATCGGCGCCCCCTCCAGGTGCTCTGCTGGGCTCTGGAAGTGCTACTAGAAGCACCTGACATGCTGCCAGGAAGCCTGCTTGTCCCTGACTTGAAGGTGTGTCCAAGCCAGTGTTATGCCCAGCGTGCTACCATGGCAAGTGAGTCGGGTGGCTTCTGTAATAAACTGACCCTTTCCTACTTTCTGTCGATGTGCTCCTTCAGTGCCCGGGAGACATCGCCGGCCTCCCCAGTGTGTCCCCAGAGCATAGGCTTTACTGCCACCTCCACGCCTTGTCCCGATCGTCTTGGGAGTGGTGATGCTGGAGCTGACCGTGCCTCTGCCTGGGGCACAGTCGGTAGACCAGCACACACCTGCCTTCCCTGTTTCCCTGAGCATTTTTGGTGTTGGAGATGAGAAGGTGAGTTTCTCTCTGAGAGCCCCGCTCCTCATGCTGCTTGCAGCACCTGGCCTTAGGTGTGTTTGCGGTCCCTGCAGCACAGCCCTGCCTGCCCTCTGCAGTACGCTTACTGGGGGCCTCGGCTGAGCTTACCTCTCCCAGCTGGTCACCTGCGCTGAGAACACGGTGCCACTCGCTGGTCTGGTACAGTCATCTCCGCCCTGTGCTGCCCTGCAGGGTGGACTCTGAGGCTCGGGTCAGGGCTGAGGCCGCCTGAGGCGCCAGCTCCACAATGGTCCCGGGTCCCTGTGCTCCTGCGCTGGGCAGTTGCACTGAGTCACCATGGGGCTTAGGAGATGGCATCTTCTCAGGGTGGATGCCTTGCCCGTGGCCTGGTCCTGAGAGCAGGTTATGCCCTGCTGATGCAGCCTGGGATGGGGCTGTGGGACTGCCCCGTCTGCAGAGCATGGACCCATGTTGTCTTGGGGAGCTGCAGGGGTACGCAGCAGTCCACCCGCTGAGGCTTCCTGTAGCTGCTGGTGCTTTGTGTTCAGGAGGACTCCCGCTGCCCTGTGGGGTGCTGTTTCTCCTCCCTGCCTGGCCGCTGGGGTGCTCAGTGCACTGTTATGGTCACTGGCACATGGGCAGGTGGCCTGCAAGGAGCCTCTCCTGGGGTTCAGTATGTGTCTGGCAGGTAGGATTGTGGGCCATCACCTTAGGAGGTGGTAAAGTGACTGGCAGACCTGGGCGTCTCTGAAGGCTTGGTCGGGTGAAGGCTGAGGCTGGTTGTTGAGTTCGCTGAACGCTGGCTCCTGCTGCCCCAGTGACCCACCCATGGAGAGCAGGAACACTTACCCGGCCGGAGCTGGCCTTGAGTGGTTGCGTCCACTGCCAATGCGAGGGCTGTGAAGGCTGCCGGCAGTGAGGTGTGGCTGTGGGTCTAGGGACACGAGGCCCAACACCTGCAGATAGATGGGCTGGACCTGTCGTCCCTCACAGCAGGTGCTGTGCCATGGGCTTCACTCTTGTTTTCCTCTGGGCTCTGGAGGCTGGTTGCTCCACCAGGCCCAGGGTGAAGAGTCCTGCCAGGGCCCTGTCTTAGCTGTAGGCATGAGGGGTCCCTGGCACACGGCCCTCTTGCGGGAGGCACTCTGCTGTGCCCCTGGTGGCAGGGCTGGTTGGCCTTGATGGCATTGTAAATGCTGCATGGAACAGCTGGTGGAAGTGGGGTAGGGCAGGGAACAAAGGGGTGCCATGGCCTCAGGCGTCTGAGGAGTAGGGCAGGGCCAGATGGGTCCTGGGCCCTCTGGAGATTGGGTACAATAGGCTCAAGTTGGCCTCAGCCAAGCTGTGGGTTCACTCTTAGAATTTGCTGTCAGAACGTCCACGCTATGCCTGAAGGTGCTGTTACATGGAGCAGGTTTCCTCATAAAGTGCTGATTCCCACATAGTGACATGTTTCTCATTACACCCTTTTAAGGGTGTCAGGCACATCCAGGCGCAGTGGCGTATGCCTGTAATGCTGGCACTTAAGTGGGGCTGAGTGGGGAGCATCACAAGTGTGAGTCCTGTCTTGGAAGCTGGGTAAGATCTTGTCTTAAGCAAAAAGTCAAAAAGGTTGGGGGATGTAGCTCAGTGGTGGAGTACCTTGGGCTCAGTCCCCAGTGCTGTAAAAAGCAGGCACACTTTAGTTTGGATTCTGTACGTTTAGACCCAGCAGCAGTGGTGTATGAGAAGCAGGTTGTGGGGTGGAAGAGAAAGAGCTGGGGTGTGGGAGACCATGGCCCACAGGACCCCACCTTGGCTTTGGGGTGTTTGGAACCAGCTGAGTAGCATCCCCCAGTAGGAATGGGCCGCTGGCTACTATGACCCGCATGCCAGGCCTATGCCCCCAGGCCAGGAGAGAGGAGAAGGAGGGCAGCCCTGAGAATTCCTGAGGGCCAGGCCTGGGCTGGGTGGCCGGGCGCACGGAGCCAACCTCCCACACATGTGCCTGCCTCCGTGGTGCTGCACCGGGGCCGGGAGGATGATGCTGGGTTAGCTCTGATGGGTATAGAGCCTGCTGTTCTCTCCCATTGCTTGCTGGTCATCTGTGGGCTGCAGGGCCCAGCCTGTGAGTGGGGCCAGCTGGACAAGCAGAAGTCCTTGGGGGAAGGTCCAGGAGGAGAGCTAGACAGCGGGCCCTTTACCAAGGCTCCCTGTGATTGTCAGGTGGGCGTGGGGCCTGGAGAGGGTGAGGCTGGGTTCTGCGCTCTGCTCCAGGCGGGCCCCTGCCTGAGCCTGCCAGAGGCCATTCCTGTGGGTCATGCAGTGATGGTGTGGGGCGGGAAGCCCTGATGCCACAAATCGCGCCACTGCCCTCTCCTGCCTCACTGGTCAGGTTGGTCGGCGTCCTGGCCTCATGAGGGACACCGCCTTGGACCCAAGTCCTCCCCGCCCTGGCCCTGGCCAGCCTGGCCTCCATGCTTCCAAGTGGACCCGGCATGGCAGCGTGAAGCTGGGCCTCAGTGGCTTGTTCAGACCCTGTGGTTTCTCCACAAGCTTCACTGTGGCCGGGCCCTGCAAAGCCACCTCAGGGCAGGGGGGGCACAGAAGGCAGGCAAGCAGGGAGGACCTCTGCAGATGGGCGAGGGGCGGAGCCTGGGGGGTGAGGCCCAGGCACTACAGAGGGGGCTCTCAGACTGTGGGACAGGGCCGGGGCTGGGCAGGAACCTGCAGTACAGGGTGAGGTCCTCTGCCGTGGCAGCGCCTGCTGCACTCTTCCGGAGCAGCTGTCTGCATGGCAGCTCATCACGGCCCTGGCCGTAGGCCTGCACGTGGCCCAGTGGTCCACTTGCCATGTAGCCACTTTTAATACTGCGAGTGAGCCAGGGCACGCCAGGGTGTCTTGACCCTGGGAGCCAGTGAAGCTGCCTCCACCAGCACTGGCCCCATGGACCCTGCGGCAGGTTGGGCTGTTTGCGGATGACCCGGGAGGCTCTTGAGGTCGCCACACTCTGGAAGCCCTGGCCAGGAGGACTGTACCTGTCTGTTGAGCAGTTGCTGGGATTATAACTCTCAGCACCTTCACAGTACCACCAGTAACTCAGCATTTCCACCTCACACCAACATTAAAAAAGACAAGAAATTTGGTTTGCTTTCCTTAGCAGAAGTAGTTTTCTTTAGAACAGAATGTTCCTTTTTGCCATGCTGGGATGGAACTCAGGGCCGGTGCATGCTGAGCTGAGGCTGTATCACTCGTTGGAGAGGGTGAAGCCACTCGGGGTCACCTGACTCAGGCCTCCCAAGGGTGTCACAAGAAGCCCTCTTCTCAGGAGCATCTGCCAGACTGCATGAGCTACCTGGTGTGAAGAATGCCCGTATGAGGCTGAGGCAGGAGGGTGGCCTGAGCCCAGGAGGGCTGTGACCCAGACGTGAGGTCAGCTTGATGTTCTTTGGTGTCTGTGCTGCCCAGTAACCTATGACCTCCAGGCAGCTTCTGTGTACGTAGTCACTAGAGGGTCACAGGTGAACCCAGGAGCTAGTGAATATTAACTCGTTTCAAATTTAATAATTTGGCTGTGTACATCAAAGCCAAAAAACCCTGAGTTCTTTCTGAATTTTAAGTTCAGCATAGGCAATTTTTTAATTAAAATTTTTTAGTTTTTTGTTTGTTTGTTTTTGTGGGGAGGGTCTTGTCATGTACTCCAGGCTGGCCTTGAACTCACTATGGAGCCCAGGCTGGCCTCTAGACTTGTGGCACTTTCTGCCTCAGCCTCCTGAGTGGTGGGATTACAGGTGTGCACTGCCACACCTGGCTAGCATACATATTTTTTAAACTGTGCTAAAATACACACAACATAAAATTTGGGACTTTTGTTTTTGAGCTGGGGTCTGGCCCTTGCCTGGCCTGGCCTTGAACCCCAAGGACCGGCTCGGTCTGGCCTCCTGTGGAGTCTCCGTTCTGCTGGGTGGACCTGGCGCTGTGGGAGGTAAGGGGACAGGTCACACATCCCAGCCTGCACAGGCCCAACGAGGGACAGACCCGAACCCCCTTGCTGTCATGTAAGCTCAAGTGCATCCTGAAGTCTCTTTGGGCCGTGGCAGTGGGAGGGGAGTGTGTGGGCACATGTTTTATGGTCCTGCTGCAGGACACTTGCTGAGTCACTCAGGTTGGTAGTGGACTGTCCCTTCCTCAGCCTCTCCACTTCGTGGCCTTTCTGCCTCTGTGCTCACAGAGGCAACAAGAGTGGCCGTCCCAGGGCTGGGGACATAGCTCAGCGGCATAGCGCCTGCCTGGCAGGTGCAAGGCTTTGAGTTTGATTCCTGGTACCAAAAAAAAAAGAATGGCTGTCCCCTCTCCAGTGGTGCCTCACTGGGCAGGGCCTGTGGGTCTTGGAGGACAGGCTGCCCACTGTGAGGAGCCAGGCATAGCTGAAATGCCCATGAGAGGCGGCACCTCGCTTGTGGCTTTTGCCTGTTTATTCTAAGATCAAAACACACAGTTTTAGACTTAGGGAATCAGAATTAAAATAGGAAGATGTCAGGCCAGGTGTGATGGTGCATGCCTGTAATCCCAGCACTCGAGAGGATCGCTGAGAGTTTGAGACCAGCCTGGGCTACAAAGTCAGCTCAAGGCCAGCCTGAACTGCATAGCGAGACCTTGCCTCAAAGACCAAAAAAAAAGATGTCGCTTCTGCTTTCACAAAGGAGTGACAGCCAAGTTAATAAAGGTGAGGTTTGCCTTCTCTGCTGCTTGGGAACTCACGTGGTGCTGTGTTCCCCCTCCGTCCTAGCAGCCCGCCTGTGCCCCTGGGCCTGTGTCC